CCCCCCTCCCTCCCCCGGACCCTTTCGGGAGGACGAGTTGCAGGCGAGGGTACGTGGGTAGGGCTTTATACCTGTACAGGTACAGGTCCGGACCTCAACACCTGGTGTACCTCAACAACGTATAACCACTGGACACTAAATGTAAGACTGAAAAATGTTTGGCAAATTAGCACTAAAGATGAATACTTTAAAAACATACTAGATACTAAAAAATCACAAATTTTAACAAAAGATTCATAAAATATCTTCTTTAAAAGATTTATCTAAAACTTTTAAAAGCTATCTATACTATCTAAACAAAGAATTAATAAAATATCTTCTTTAAAAGATTTATCTAAAACTTTTAAAAGCTATCTAAGCTATCTAAACAAACAATTCATAAAAGAACGTTGCAAGATTTAGGTTTAAATTCAAACTTCTAATTAAAAAGTCACTAACTAAACAAAAGACCGCCCATGACAAGAGGTGGAGTTGTGTCCGCTGTCCGGTTGTTGGTGGGTCATTATTCCTGACTGGGGAGGCAGAAGCCTGAAGAAGGCGGGATTTCCGCCGGGTTTGGTCCCGCCTCCAACAACACTTTTCTCAACATCAAAATAAACATTAGAAAAAATAAACAAACACTTGAGCTTTCTGTCACTAGCCCTGCAAAACTACTTCCGTCATTCTGCCTAAAAATATGAACTAATGTAGATGAATATTCGCTAATAGCTGTCTGTGTGTAAAATATGTAGGTCTGGGTTTGGTTAAGCTCTGTAAACATTATACAGTTCTTTACAACACTTAATCTTTGTCACTCAATCTGTGTGAAAACTTTCCTGTTTCCATGTGGGGCGTTTCACATCCTTACATACAGATATTTCAGTAAGGCATTTGTGCATCGTAGCACCATCCTGATTTCAGGAAATAAAGACTGAATTTGTGCCTAGATTTTAAGAGGTTTGGGGAAGATTGTAATTTTCTTACAACCAAAAACAAGATGTCCCCAAATTTGATTCAGCATCAAACCGATCTCTGATCTAGTACAGCTTCATATATTTATACGAAGCACGGAAGAGGTTCTCCTCTACTTTACGTTCCTAATTTGCTGTTTCTTTCCGGGGGTCTAAAATAAAAATCCATATTCAGATACCTTAATACGGTGTATCTGGATGAAATATAGATCTTTCAAATTTGAATCTCAAGCTTTTGAGAATCTTTAAGAAGATAATCTTACGACTAAGAATTTAGGTTTCCCCGAATCAGTATCAAAACTTGGGGGGTCTCTGTCTCGGGGGGGGGTCTCTGTCTCGAGGGGGGGTCTTTGAATTTTTTTTTCACTAGTCTGGACATACAGATATTTCACTACAGAAATCTGCATCTCAAAGTTTTGGGCTTTTTTAAGAAGATAATCTTCTTACAACCAAGGACAAGTCCAAGGTTTCCCAAAATCTGTTTTCAAACAGGGAATTCTGAGGGTGCAGATATAGACACCTTCAATAGCTTCAAGAGTATTTTAAGTTTAACAGCATAAAGGTGAAACATGTGGTTTCAACCTTTATTGAGAGATCCAGATTTTTTTTTGTATTTTGTGTTTTTATCTTTTTTTTGGTTTTTGTATTTTTATCATCCATCCTTCCATCCATTCTTCATGCATTCATCCATCCAAACCTTCATTCATTCAAACATTCATTCGTCCATTCAACCACCCATCCACTCAACCATCCACTCAACCATTCACCCTCCATTCATACCATTCATACTGTACGGTGTATGATGTTGTTGTCCCGTCGTTGTACGGTGTATGATGTTGTTGTCCCGTCGTTGTACGGCGTATGATGTTGTTGTCCCGTCGTTGTACGGTGTCGATGTTGTTGACCGTTTGCCGTGCTGTCAGTGTGCAGACCGGTAAGATGTTATGACCAGCTACTGCACGGCGCTGTGCGCTGTTTAGACCTTCTGGACGAGTTTGCCGTTGTGGAAAGACCATACACTCACGTGATGGGTCTTGTACTCCTGGGAGATCTTACCCTGGGGGGTAAAACTGGCGTCAGGACTTGGCTACGGAGGAAAGACGTGTGGAAGGAAAGACGCAGAAGAACGGAACGAAAGAAACATTGTCATATGGTAGAAGAAGGGTTAGGATCAGGCACGGTTCTGAATACTCTTCGCGTATCCAAGAGTGTAGATTTGCCACAGTTACAGTTCTGGATACGCGTGGACCATCCAGAACCGTGCCTGAGCATGGCTCCTGTCCTGCCGTACCTTCAGGCACCAGTTTGCTGGTTGCGAGACGTTGAAGGCCTCCGCTGCCTCCAGCAGCTTTAGTGCGGCGCCGGTTGGCTCATCGTGCACGTTC